GTTTATTATCACTTTTTGTACTGTCACTTCGGCTCTTATCATAATCAATTACCGCGCATGCACGACAGCAGTAATTCTAAATTATGACAACTCGAAGCGCTGCAACTTCAATAAAATGTGCGCAAACCGTCTTGCAATCGAGTATACATTGGCTTGTAAAACTACTCAGACACAATGAAACTAGCAACTCACCAAACTATCAAAATCAAAAGACATCGACGGACCTATCCTTAGTAATTACATTGTTAATTATTATTATTAATTATATTATTATTCCGTATTGTTAGTTATTATTATTAATTATATTATCATTGAGTGACACACAAAAAAACGTAAGCAGCAAGAAAATTGATCAATCACAATCAATTATTCTCGGACAAGAAGAATTATCGACCGTGGTTGGTTAATCCGCTTACTGTTTAAGTTTTACTGCTAATGCTTCTCTGTGTGTATTCCCGGTAATGACTCAACTTGGATAGTTTGGTGAACTCCCATCCTCATTATGTCAACTTCATTGTGTCTAAGACAAGTCTCTTGCCATCCACTTTATGTTACGACTGTATTCGCGCGCTAATTAAATATACACTGCAAAAAATCTTGCGTACATAGTACGTAAACAAATGTTCCAAAAAATCTACTTTAAATTTTGTGTCGAAAATAACTCATTCATGTATTATTTATATTATGTACTAGTCTATACATAATGTAAATAACGAATGAATATATGAATGAGCTATTTTCAACACGAAAGACTTTTAGAGTGGACTTTTTGGAACATTTGTTCAAGTACTGTGTACGCAAGATTTTTTACAGTATAAGTACAAATATACCATAAGAAACATAAGACATAAAAATATAAGTTAAAAAATATAAATTAACGGTTCTTTTTTTTCTTGCACTTGCGGCAGACACATTCGTGCCATATTTCTGAATTCTCGCAAACCTTCGCCGCGTCGTTTCCTGCCGTTTTGCGGCGACTAGGTGCCACGGCGGCCACGAGATCCGCGGATCTTGACGTGAGATGGATATCGTATTCCCTATAATACATGGCTCGGCCGCACCGTTGAATTCCGTACGGATGCAGCGTTAGCATCGCGCGTGTGCACGAACTGTCTTTTGCATAGGTTATCGCGGAGGACCTGGGATCCGGCCAGAGGTGCGGGCTTTTTGCATGGCGGGCATATCGGAGAAACGCTGTTGTTGGCGCAAAATCGAAAAATATATTGCAACGGTATCTCGGTGGAACACCTCTCTCTTGTAATAACGGCTTGTAACAGTAAATCTCTTCCGCCGCTCGGAAAAAATATCATTGATTTTTCGATACAGTAATTGTCGGCCAATCCTTCATATTAACGTCCAAATGTGCTGAAATTTTACGTTGATTTGAGCCATTTATTTTACTACGGAAATGAAATCTGTTGTTTATAAAGAGTACCATACCTACCAATTTCGATGTCGCTCTATCGAATAGCGTTGAGAAAATTTAAAAAAATCGCAATTTATGCAAAATTTTTGCAAAATAAATTTAAAAAACACGTTTTTACAGCTAATTTTTTCTTTTTCCATTATTTTCTCTATAAAAACGTGTTAATATCGCTCGGAAAAGTTTCTAAAACGCATGTCCCGACACTTTAACTTAAAAAATATGCCATGGGTATTTTTTTCAACAAACATGGCCGTACAAAATGTCAATCGATTTGAAGCGATTAATTCGAATTTTTGTTTATATTTAGTTATCGAAATTATATTTAGTTATTTTGTTTATATTTAGTTATCGAAATTGTTTTAATATGTAATTTTGTAGTAATATTGACTCTAAAACAATTTTAATAATCAAATATAAACAAAAATTTTAATTAAACGCTTTAAATCGACCGCCATTTTGGTACCGCCATGTTTGTTGAAAAAAATATCCATGGCATATTTTTTAAGTTAAAGTGTCGGGAACACTTTTTAAACACTTTCCCAAGCGATACGAAAAAATTAGCTCTAAAAACATGCGTTTTTTAAATTTTATTTTGCAAAAATTTTGCATAAATTGTGACTTTTTTTAAATTTTCTCAACGCTAGTCGATAGAGCGACATCGAAGTTGGTAGAAATGGTACTCTTTATAAACAACAGACCTCATTTTCGTAGTAAAATAAATAACGTAAAATTTCAGTACATTTGGGCGTTAACGAGACCACGTATCAATAACGTACAATCTAAATAGAAATTTTTCACATACACCTCATGGGCAATACTCCCACCGATCGGACGTGTGAAAAACCTTGAATAAATATAACACCGAAACCCCCTCTATTTCCCTCTCTCCCCTCCTGAAAGGGTTCCCTCGAGAGTGAACCATACGTCACAGCGTAAACACATCCGGCGGCGACCCCGCCGATGAATGAACCGGTCGGCAGGATTTCTGCTTTCAAATTCGTCCTGGCTATACGCCAGGCAGCTCATGCATATTCACGGCAACTCGCGCGAGCATCGTGGATAGCAGAAAAAATTGACAGTTTGGGAAAAGGGCGAACTAAAAAAAGAAAAAAGAATGAGAAGAAAGTAAACAAAAAGAAGAAGAAGAAGAAGAGCGCGTCAATAATCAAGATCGAACGTCATGGAGCGCGCGTATGAAGTCGACGGGGGAGCACAATTTCAATTTTAAATGCAAGTCTGCGAATCGCACGGCCGGGGTAGGCGAGGGTGGGTCGAAAAGTTTCAGCCATTGTACGTATGCGCATTTCTATAGGGGGTATCACCTCTCCGCTATTCTCGAGCGAGTCCTCTCTCAGCCGATCCCAACAGCGCGACGCCGCGAGTCTAGTCATCGTGAAAATGCAACGGAGATGCACGCGCGATAACGGCGAGTCTCGCGTATAAATCGAGATGATAAACTCCGGGGGAAGATGGGGAGGGGACGAGATCGCGAGGAGAAAATTGGTTTGAGTTTCGATTCATGGGATTTGCATTACGCGAGGCGCGCATTTCAAAAGTGTTGTTTCATAGGCAGGCTGCCTTTTGGAGGTCTGCCCGTGATACGCAGAGAGATCGCGTCGATTTGCATTTGTGTTTTGTTAAATTTTTAACGTGCCAAATTTTACTCGTGCCCGGTTTGAGACCGCGTTCTTCGCGCATTTGTTTCCGATGTTACATGAACGTTTTGATTTACTTCTTATTCAAGGAGAGTAACAAATTATCTTTTATTTTCGTGAAATAAAGGTGTTTCTTCGAAATAAAGGTGCATACACACAATATTAACATGTACCTTTCAAAATGAAAATCCATGAAATTTTCTGATCTGGAGCTTACTATAGGGAAGAGCGAGTAAGATGGAACATATGCGGGACATCCTAATTATTTTTGTTCCCACACATAAACGCACATTAACGCATAATAGTTGTCCATTTCATGTCAATTAACACTCGATATCTTTGCATAGTCGGTTGCAAAACGGTTTAGACATAATAAAATTAGGAGCTCACTCAACTGTCAAAATTAATAGTCATTACCGATGGGTTTACACGGTGATAATATAATTGATAATAATAAATAATTATAATAATAAATAATAATAATAGTAGATAATGTAATTATTGTGGAAGCCCGTCAGAATAATGATTCTCAATTTTGACAATTTAGTGAAATCCCAACTTCACTGTATTTGAACAATTATTACCAGTATTTCCAACTCATTCGAACCAGTATTCGCAACTAAGTGTACTTATAACGTAATCTAACCTAACTTCAATAGTGTAATGTACAGTGCTGCTGATCTGCAATCATATGTAACTCTCTACTCTCTATTCTAACCCAGAAGTAAGTTTAAGCCCAGGGGGAGGGTGATAATACGAAACAGGAGAGTAATATGAAACAAGGATAATTTCTCAAACAACTGCTGCGATTTGTAACTGAAGTAAACATAACCATTTAGGTCTTTATCGGCCACCAGAGAGGTCTGGTACGACGTTATTTACAATATTAAGAGAAGCCACTTTGTTTACTTTCTATTTAAAAAATTTTTTACAAGGTTAGATTCAAAAATTGTTTTCAATCGATAAATCTGATACATTATCTATAGTGTGCGTCGATTACTAACAATATTAAACTTCTAAATGGCAGAGTCAGCTATTTGAAAATATTTCTTTTGCTTTGAGATTCGTTAAGTCATTTGGAAAATAACGATGGGTGGTAAAATGTAAAGAACATTCCTTTGCATTATTTAAATTCATCGTTCTCAATTCAATTTGAACAGATACAATCGCAAAATTGTTTCATCATTTATTACACAAGATTCCCATCGGATCGTGAGAGGACGATACTTCACTGTAAACTTGTTATAATAACACATCGTGATCACAAATTTTCAGTAACGTATCAATTACTCCGTCTTTCTTTCGCCATCCAATCATACGCCACGCAGGAGGCAACAACGTTCCGGTGTACAAATGAACCTCGATTAAACGAATTAACAGCCTGCTCGTGCTGGACACGGTCGTAGACGATTACGAGATAAGTCGCGCCAATTTCGGCGGCTTTCACAACACAGCGGGAATGCTCCGTTAAATCGCCGTCTCGTCGTCACCGCATCGGCCCACATGCCGCATTATCCCATCGCATCCTTTTCCGCCAATCGTCGCTCGTTAAATTGCAAATTAATGCGGAGCCTCCGCCGAAAAACTGATATGCGCGAATTTCGTACATGAGCTCACCGACATTCATCACGATCGACTGGCGCCGATTTACGGACATGTTTTAGCGTTGCCTTGTAATTGGATAAAATCTTTACAGCCTTAGCTTCATTAATAAACAACACGAAGATTATTCGTGAAACTACATTCTGCATCACTAAGGATTTTACATGTAGTATAACCATATAAATGAATGAAAGGAATTTTTTATTTACAATCTATTGATATTGAAAATTACATTTGTTATAATATAAACTGCACACGGAGAAAATATTACAATAAAAATTACATAAAAATTATGTTAAAATTGTATTTTTTATAATATTTTTGTATAGCTGAGACTGTACTTAAATTGTACATATATATTTAACTATATTTAAATTACTCCATAAAGCTGCAGTAATATGCTATAGTATATACTTAATTACTATAGAAATAGTATGTCAGACAATATACTGATATACGATATAAAAAAACATTCAAGTAATTACAATAATTCTGTAATAAAAAGCCAAGAGTGCATAAAATAATAGTCAGTCAGTTGCCTTTACAATGTCGAACGTTGAATCGATATTTTATAGATCGAGTCGTCCGATTTGAAGAAGTAATACGTACCTGCTTTTGAATAATTGCATTTTATCTAATTACAAGCTCCTCATCTAATATGGCTCGGTTCCAGGACGAACAGTTGACTGCCGGTGGTTTTCTCCTCGTCCTGGCGTCGCCGTCTGATCCTGGCAGCCAGACATGGCACGAACAAACTTGGATCGTGCTCGATATTATTTCCGGGTCGAATAAGCCGTATTATATTGCTCGCTATATATCCAACTACTATAGTGATCATCAATCCCATGGGATTATACCACATATGGGAAATGCGATACAAGTAGAAGTATGACGACTTCTCCGATAATGTGCTACAAAAAGTAAGATAGTATAAAGATAACAAACGAATGTATCATGATTCTAAAAATATCGTCTAATAAATATGTTTCTATTTATAAATTGAGCAAAATTTTTTATAATTTAAATATAATTTAGGTTCGTGTATGTTAATTCTTAAATATATATGTATATATATATATATATATATATATATATATATATATATATATATATA